CTTCACAATGTCCTTCCCGTCAAGCAAAATAAAATGAGAATATAAAGGATCCAAATGCATCCAAGAGAAAATATGCTCCTAGGACAAAACGGAAAAAAGCTCCCCTATAAGTTAGCTCAAAGAAATCAGAGGTATATTTTAATTTTATGCTAACTACATAAATTATTTTGATAAAATTACTAAATTTATTTATTTTTGTCCAGGTACGCTTAAGGAAAGCAAACAAAAATGATCCAATGTTGACACCTGATAGCATCATTAATGTTACGCTTGCACTTTTTCCAACTGAATAAAGTTTATTTCTATACTGTCCATAGGTTGGTTACATTGTTTTTTGAGGATAGGTAATGATTATGATGTTGGTAGCATTTAGTACTGAAACTTTTGTTTTTCTTGTGCTCTCAAGTTGTAGTCTTGGTGGTATTTATCAAAATGAATATTTTGTTCTCTTGGTGTGATGTAACTTTTTGGAATAAATTAGTAATGTTCGGATGCCTATATTTCACACATGAGTTTTTAATGCACGTCTAATGTTGCTAAGATATATCTTATGTTCCTAGACTCGTCTTGTTTTGAGTTATTTAGTCTTCTACAACTATTTCACTTTTGATTCCAGCAGTAGTATAAATTTGTTCACGATGCCTCTGGAGGTATGTGTTTACATTTATTAATTTTCTTCTCTTTTGGCCTTTGTACTCCTAGTTTATTTCACTTTATTGATCTTTATCTATTTCCCCTCAAGGCTTCTGTGAGTTTGGTCAATGAAAGGTAGTTATAAATGTATACATTTTTTTTTAGCTTGGAGTTTTTTAGAGTTCTCAATAAAAATTAGATCTTTTCGATAGACAAAGAGAGAAAATTAAGATGAAATTATTATTATTATTATTTTTACTCAATGATTTTTCCCCAACGATTTTGATAATTTTAGATTGTAATATCGATTTCTAATTTTTGTATACTTATTCTACAACTAATAAGAAATGTTCCATTGGAAAATGATTTAAATATACACCGGTTTTCTTCATTGCTCAATTTTGTTTTGCAGAGGATATCACAAGTTATGAGCCGTGTGGCCTGTCTGAACGAAGCTTTCTCGGTCGACTGTGAAAAGGGTCCTAGTGATTTGACTGCAAAACTCACTATCTCTTGTTGGCTCAACTAACACTTGGCATGTAATGAGTCTTAGATAAGTCGGGCGAATGCATAGGCTTTAGTATTTTACTGTATATTCCATGTGTGTATATGTTCCATTTTGTCTTTTAGAATTGGGAATTGTTCGTCGTATGTGCTATCATATTATGTACTGAGAACTTCATATGTATCTTTCAGTTTATTTTTACTTGTCTTGTAATACCTCCCTTGCCCCCTCTTTTTTAGCAGGTATGATTGCATGTACATAAAATGAGGTCTTTGAATGTTTTTGAATTTATGTATTATGAGTTATAATCATATCCCCTCAATTGGGCAATGCCAATTGAAATGATGGCCCCAACACGTCTCATTGGAAATGTTGGTCTGTGACAAAAGATCACTAGTATTAATACCCATGTACAACATGTGTGTTGAGTTAATGAATATATGTGTTAAGTTATTTATGTCTAATACCAAATCTAACTTCAGAGCAAAATAATATAAAAACAACATCACGAAGCATAGATTTTTACTATGTCAGCATTCGAAGCGTGAGAATCTGCCACCTAGACTCAACGCATTTTGAATTAATATATATAAGGAGGGATTTGTTCATATCAGCTGAGTTTAAACTTGGTTCTAGCTTATAATAGCGCTTGCAAACTTAACTCATGAACTTAACCTGTCAAGAGAGTTGAACAATGGTTGTTAAACAAAATTCATTAGTGAATTACATGTCCACCCACCCAATGAATGTACTCAGATTTTAACAGATCATGTTTATAAAGTGAAGAAAAGAACACCAATTGCGTATACAAGCAAGTTTCACAACAACATGTGCAAATAAAAACAAAACCTTCATAACAATCACCTTATACATCACATATAAAACAAAGAAATATATTTGCTTTCCGACTAGAGGCAAATCATTTCCGTGTACAAATTCTACACATGTTTCACATATACATTGTCCATAACCACATCGATAGCTACAAATTACAATACTGTCATGTACCCGGTTATGGAGTGGGCCGATTTTATAGTCTAGATAATTTATGTTTTGGTATTTGGTCTTTTATGTTGGACTCATATTATGTTTAGTTTTGGGCCTCTATATATTAAATAGCCCATTATGTGAGTTAAGTGGTGAGTTTTGTGAGTGGCATGTGAATGAGTATAAAATGCATGTAGGAAAAGTGATATAGATTATGGAATGAATTAACATTTTTCACTCTCTCTCTTGTTTCTCTCTCCTTCCAAACTCTCTCTCTCTCTCTCTCTCTCTCTCTCTCTCTCTCCCTTCAATCCCTCGTATCTCTCTCTACTCTCTCTTCTCTTTCATCTTCAACATCTTCCTCCTTCATCTCTTTATTTACAGAAAAATACAAAAATAAAATTACAAAAAAGTAAGATCATAACAATTGGTATCAAGAGCGGTCGATCCTCAGAAGATGGCCGATGAATTCATCCTCGATTGTTTGGAGCTGCAACAAAAACATATGGAACAAAAATTAATGGTGGAAATCCAAAAAAGAGAAGCTAGCCATTTAAAGATAGAAAGTCAAATTGATGGGTTCAAATCAAACATCCCTGAGTTCAAATCCAATTTACAACAACAGATGCAAGGGATGAATGAAAAATTGGATCAAGCCATTCAGGTAGCTGAATCCATTCAACAACTCCTTTTCAATCTTCAAAACAAAAATCAAAAAACAACAAAACCACCATCGTTAGCACCAATTCATACTCAATTAACCTCCACCATCAACCCCAATTTCAATTTGAAATTCACCAGCCCTTCAAAGTCCCAGCCAATTTTTCACAAAGTTCATGAGAGAAAAACTGAAGGAGCTTCTAATGAGCCAAAATATCCTAATGAAAATGAACCTTCTGTTCCAAAGCTTAAGAGGTCGTTTGGCTGTGAAAATCAGCAAATCAACCAAATTAGCACATCACCAGCTAAGTCAAAATTTCCAAAGATGGATGAGAGAGCTAAATTCGCATCAGAAATATCAATTGAAACATTGGTAGATAGAGAAATCTCTCACCTCAAACAGATAACCGATACATCCGAGCTACCAAGTATGAATTTGGATATCAGCGTAGTCTCTCAGGAACAGACCCAACTCGAACTCGAGAAACAATTCATTCAGTTTCAGGAACAGAGCGAAGAGAAGGATCCGACTCGTCAAATTCCATGGTGTGTTAGACGGTCGAAAGGTTGGGCTCGCCGGATTTGTAAACACGGTGGTGGAACGGGAATTCCAATGAAAATCATGAGAGGAATTCGCAGCTACGGAGGGGCTGTGAAAGCAGGCCCACGGAGGGAAGCTTGGTCTCGTCGGCTTTCGAAAATTTCCAGTCGGCGTATATTTTGGTCACGTCAGACCAGAAGGGGCGATTTTGGTTTTTACTTGCCAGGATATCAGCGACGAAGAAGCATCACCACAGAGGTCGAGCGAGGGTTCAAATCCGTCGGTTGAACCGTACATCGAAGCTGGGCCGGTCTTTCCTCGCTGATGCTACATCGACCACGCATAGAAAAAACCGCGGCGGTCGAGAGAAGGCTAAATTTCATCGAAATTCAAGGTGCTACGGGCGTGTTTGACGCGTGGTCTCGGCGAATCGCTTCGAGGTATGATGGCCGGAGAAAAGGACCGATGGTGCGATCGATTTTGGATCTCGGGGAAGAAGGGAAAATTGGCAGAAGATTCGTTTTTGAAAATAAGCACAAGGTGGCTTGTTCTCGTTGGATTTCCAAGCATGGTGGGCGGTCGGAAGCTTGGTCTCGCCAAGTACCAGGGTCGCGGGCGTCGGATTTCAAATTTCAATCGAGCAATTTTTCTTCTCTAGCCATGGATGATTCGGGAGAAAATGAACGGGTTGTGGACTGTGGTTTCTTTTTTGGGCAAACATCAGGTGATACGGTTGTACTGGAGGGGACGACCGGAGGAGACGCGATCGACTTCTCATGGAGGAGAGAAAAATGGCAGAAGCTTCGAGAATTAGATTTTGGTGGGGCTGCATAAGAATTTGGGTTGGAGCATGATTGAGTTTTTAATTTAGAATTTGGGTTGAGCATGATTGAGTTTTTAATTGAGAATTTGAGTTGGAGCATGATTGAGTTTTTAATTGAGTGTTGGGCTGCCTTGAGAAAAATTGAATTGGGAGAAGAAGGAAAGGTGGTTGGGCTTTGGGATGACAAGGGTGCATATTCTGGCTTTGGGTTGGTTCAATTGCTGGCAATTGGGCTGGGCCCAGACACCATTAACTTGAAGCCATATCATATTGAAGTGGGATATCTCATGGACTGGACTAACATATGGGTCACTACAAGAATATTTAGCTTTTGGGCATGTGATGATTTGAAGAAAGTAGCCCGTTGGATACAATGGTTGCATTTTCGACATATGAGTCTCGAGGACGAGACTCTTTCAAGGAGGGAGTATTGTCATGTACCCGGTTATGGAGTGGGCCGATTTTATAGTCTAGATAATTTATGTTTTGGTATTTGATCTTTTATGTTGGACTCATTTTATTATGTTTAGTTTTGGGCCTCTATATATTAAATAGCTGATTATGTGAGTTAAGTGGTGAGTTTTGTGAGTGACATGTGAATGAGTATAAAATGCATGTAGGAAAAGTGATTTGGATTATGGAATGAATTAATAATTTTCACTCTCTCTCTTGTTTCTCTCTCCTCCCAAACTTTCTCTCTCTCTCCCTTCAATCCCTCGTATCTCTCTCTACTCTCTCTTCTCTTTCATCTTTAATATCTTCCTCTTTCATCTCTTTATTTACAGAAAAATACAAAAATAAAATTACAAAAAAGTAAGATCATAACAAATACCACCTCTTAAGAGATGAAATCACACAAGAGCACCGCCTTTCACAAACTCTGTGAATGCAAGTGCCACCAAACCCAACATAGCAAAAATCCCATTCCAAAGCTTGGCATATAATGACGTCAAGTTCCCAGATTTCGACTCGGTCGTCACCCCTTTGAACATCGAGATTAAGGACGCCAATGACAACAAGACGCTCGTGCCCAAGAACCTCTAAAACTGCTCGCTTTCTGGCCCGATAACGCTAAAGGGGCCCCATCCCAGCTGCTCTCTTCTGCAGCCTCTCCTCTTTTGAATCTATGCTCCATCTCGAACCACCTCACAGGCCCGAACCGCCACGGACCCAACCTTTGCCTCCTCTGTATAGGCGGCAACGACCTCATCGAACCCATCCCAGCTTCCTTGGGCGATCTCCGTAACCTAGAGACTCTGGGCCTGGCCTCGTGCAGCCTCACCGGGCCCATAACCCCGGAGCTGAGGAGGCTCACCCGCCACCAGGGTTTGGGCCTGCAGGAGAACATGCTAGTGGGCCCCATCCTCGGGTGCTCGTTGGCGGCTCCAGCATCGTTGTCTTCACGGCCGCCCTCAATTGTCTCAATAGCACCATCCCGGATGAGTTGCGCCCTATCGAGTCTTCAGTTACTCACTCTCGCCAACAATACGATGTCCGAGGGATTTCCGTTCCGGCTAGGCCAGATGAGTGAGCTTCATACCTAATACATCTCCTTGATCCTTTTGTGGCGGCCCTTTGATCCGCTTCAACGACATGATGTAGAGGTTGGTGTTGTCGAAAGAAAATTGTCGCCATGAAGAGGCAAGTGTTTGGGAAAATGACGGTTTCAATTTGGAAAAAAATGTATTGCTTCGTTAAGTCTTTGTTTATAAATTTTTATTTTTTTATTTTTTTTTAAAATATTATTGCCATGTCATTTTGTAACCCAACTATGTCAAGGAACTTGGGTAGTGTAGCGGGATTGTTTTCGAAATAATGTAATATTACTTTTTTTATTTTTTTTATCTTTTTTTTTTTGGTAGCCAGTCACGGTTCCGTAGCTATGCACTGACTAATCCATTGGTCGACCCTGGTAGCACACCTGACAGTGGTGGGTGAGTCTCCCAGCAAAAGTTTTCTGCATCCACAAGGACTCGAACACGTGACTTTGCTTAAGCGACATCAAGCTGCTTACCACTTGAGTTAACCTCTGTTGGTTATTTTTTTTTTATCTTTTGCCTTGTAAGTTGTGAGTTAATCCCCTCGCCAACTTTATTTATTTTACCTAAATAGCATGCCAACTTTAGTTTATTTACCTGTGGGGAAAGCTCACCTTGTGTTTTAAAACATTAATTTGCATCTTCTCTCTCCTAAATCCCCCCTCCCCCCCCTTCATAAGGGAAAAATTAACAGCAATTAGCATCCCCCTCATCTCCGCCTACCCCCGGTGGCTCGCTTTGCTTCTCCGACTATTGGTTGGGCAGGTGATGGGCGGCCTTCTCTTCTTCTCCCCACTTGTCTGGTCGTGGGGTGGTTCAGCGACAACGAGCTCGCCTGCCTACTCAGGATAACTTTCTCCACTTCGAGTCTCCCTCTAGGATATAAGCTTATTGGTGCATAGACCTGGGCTCGAGTTTCGCCTTCTCTTCAAATTTGTTTAGTCATTCGAGTTCAGTCTGGAGTTCTCATAACTGGAGCTCAATATTTGTGGGTCACTTTTCACTTCAAGTTCCAAAAATTGGTCAGTGTTAGCTTGTGTGGCAGCTGTGGAAGGCTCGCGAGAAAGGAGGTTTATTTAGGTGTTGATTTGTATAAATCCAAAGGAATGTGAGTCATATCTTACCTGATAGTTTTATGAGATGTCTTACTTTATTTGTTAAGCGTGCGTAGTTTTTATTTATCTTGATTTTCATCTCTTTCCATCTCTCGTCTCTCAACCTTTCTATCTCTAGTCTCTCTACCCTCCATTCTTCAGTTCTTGTTGATAACCTAATATATCAAATATCCATATTATTTTTATGATAAAACAATGATCTAGTGCAACCAATTGGTTTGGCAGACCCAAACAGGAAAATATCCATTAAGGGTACATGTAAAGAAAGCAACGAAATGGACACATTGCAGAGTCTTTAGATAACAAGAAATTTAAAACCACATTACCATTCCATCATGTCTCGAGAACAAAAGATGAAAATATCGTTACCCCTGAACTTCCAATGGGGGCACTACACACAGTGAGCAATGTTTTTCAACTTCATTAATATGACGACGAGCCAAAAGGATTAGTCTAGTTGCTGCCACCTCCAAAAAGATATCCCAAGGAAGATCCCCCACCTGGGGCCGCATGGACTTTGGTAGAAGGTCGATCCTGTAACCAAGAAACGGTTCTCATGTATCATTCCCAGTCGACATTATTGCAAAACAGAAAAGTATAATTGACCACAAATACTTACACCTAGTACACAAAATCAATAATAATTACACCATCTACACACTTGTGAGACTATATACCAAGTTCTGTAGCCAGAAGTTTTCTCCATTGTCTTCATTGCTCTATCCGTAATCCAAAGGGCTAAATTTATTTTAACAACACAATGCATACTTTATTGTCCTATTTCAAGCGCCTACACCTGATTTAAGGAACGGTTCATGCCATACATATGAAAGCAGATAAAGGCGATACGAACAGATTTCATGACTAATTTTAGTTTGATTATTCAAGCTTACCAGTCAAACAAATATCCGGAGAAGCAAGCAAGTTTTATGAGCTTGTTTTTCCAAAATAATATATTATTCATGAAAAAGCGATTAATAAACACAAAGCCAAAGACCGAGCAATCATCTCCAGGACACAAACTAAATTCACACTATCCACTAGCCTTGGGAACCAGTGCAAGCAAATTAGCACTACAAGTATTAAACTATAGTCATACTGAGAAGTGGTCGTAACTTTAAATTAAAAAAAAAAAAAAAGAGGATAATACGCATACAGTGAGGAAGTTTCCAGTGTTCTGGCCATCGGCTCTGAAGTAGTTGTTATTGTGGTTTCCCTGGATGCCGGCCGGAATCTGCTTAGTAGCTTCAGCAGGTAGCGCAACAGCTGGTGGGTTGTCTGGAGTCACGCGACCTGCAGCCGGGGAAGTCTTCTGTATGGGAGGAGGCTCTGCACTATTTGTGGCAGGTTTCGGAGCCGGACCTTCTCCACTTCCGAAAAGGTACCCCAAGGAACTCTGGCCCCCACCGTAGCTAACTCCACGACCCATTAGCACCTGATTTCAACTTCTGTCACCACACTGGAATCAATCTCAAATCTCCCAAAAGTGACTAAAAATGAATTCAATTAACAATGAAGACATCACTGTTTGACTGCCATCAAAGGAAAGGTGATTCTCTGTGATCCCACAAGCATGATCAAACAACTGAATTTGAAAATTGGCGAAAATTCCACGGGAAATGGAAGGGAAAATCTTGGAATATACAGGCTTTCAGAGCCTGGATCAAATATTAAGTAAGGTTTGTTATTTCATCAATAATTTCAATCGGACAGAAAGCAATTTTTCGGCATTGGTTGTTCACTCAATTTGGATCACCAGCAAGTTTATAAAAATCTCCACAATTCAAATATATATAGTGTGTGTATATATAGAGACAGTTAAGATCAATTCACATTTCACTAACAAAACAGTACAATCGATTCACAAGAAACATATACGAAACCACCGAGAAAATAAGAGAAAAAATAAATAAAACGTCAAGAAAAGGGCAAACGTTAACAGAACTGATGAGACTGATGTCGCGATCATTGTGTCTGCACAAACAACAATTTTTACGAACTGAAATGGCAGATCTAGCGGTGAAAACAGCAGAAACACGCAGAGATAATGTATGCGAAGTTTATGTACCAAATCAAAATAACAACACCATAAATGAAAAGGAGATTGAAGAATGGCCGACCTTGAGTGAAGATGGGATCTGATCGGATCTGCGGAGTAGAGAAAGGAAGGCGATGGGGGTCCAGGAAGAAGTGTATTGTATACCGATACTATTAATAAATACAAGAAAAGGAAATTTGAAAATGAAATGTTTTTTTTTTTTTGGTAAAGGTCGTAGAGCATCTCCAATGCATAAAATGTTGTTATTACATAATTCTATACAAATGTCGATTAATTAGATGGATTGTGTTATTACATAATTTTTACAAATGTCAATTAATTAGATGGATTGTGAACCATATAAGATAATTAAATGGTTCACAGTTTTAACTCTAAAAAATTGTCTCAAATAGACAATATAATCAAACAAAACATTGTCCACTTGGCCAAAATAAAATATTGTAAATATAAACGATATTTTAAAAATAGTAACAATATTTCTCTCTCATTTCTCTATTGGTTGAGTAGAATGTGAATGAGAATGTGGATGAGCCACATTCTTCTCTACATTGTAGACATTAATTATGCCTACCTCATCACTACATATATATCTATATCTATATATATGTAATGGACCAATCCTTATTGCCATAATTGGCATGATTTTGGGCGAGATACTTTTTCGTATATATTTGACATTTAATTAATATTTATTTATTAGCAAATTTTATGCATAAAAAACATAATTAAGTTTATACACTCAATAATTGTTATACTCATTAGCTACAAATTGGCTTATCCGGTGTACATTGCCTTATGGCTCATTTTATTTCTGAATGGAGTATTCTTTTGCTGATTGAAAAAAAAAATTGGCTTAAATTGAAAATTTGACCATAGATTTATATATATATTCAATAAGATCTTATATTAATTTAATAGTAATTTATTGACACAATTCAAAAAATTATTATAAAAATTAATTTGATTAAATATATTATCATTTATGGTTTTAGGTATTAATCTAATTAATCATATTCACTATTCATAAATACTTAAAACATTTAATAAAATAATCAGAATAACTATGTTTAAATCATAATAACTTAATAAATAATTTAAAATATTAATAAAAGTTTCTAAAATATAGTCAATTTAACTATAAAAAAGGTACACCCCATTGAATATATCATATGGAGTGATAATACTACTGAAAATTTAAATAACGTGCTAATAATATAATTTGATGGTCATTCATCTAACATTGTTTCAAATCAAGAATTTCATTAGCGAGACAATAGTTCCTCCTTGTTTGAGGTTTCTTCTCTCCTTGTTTGAGGGTTCTCTCTCGTTAGCGAGCTCTCTCTGGTGTTCTACTGGCTTTCATCCCTAGTGTGAGTTTCTCTACCTAGGGTGTCATTTGATCAAATAGCCTTTCGTTAGATAGGAACACAGTTGATAAATACTGATAACTCTGGAATAGAATATTAGCACGGTAAGATTCATTACATACTGAACGACTGGCTCTAAGCTATTTCTGACGACGAATCAACAAGTTGAAGTGCTTTTCTTGTGTCTTCGCGTTAAACCATATCCTGTCATAGCTCATCGTCTCTTGAGATGGAAGACGAATTAGGGCACAAATTGGGCAAATTCACTCTGTCGGAAATTGAAGATTCCTACATCGACCTAGACAATACCGATGTCACGCTTAGTGAAGATGAATGTCAACGAAGCCTGTTCGGCAAAATTGTTGGGGAAAGGAAGGCTAACTGGGTTGGGGTGAAGCGCACAATGAGCTTTCTTTGGAAGTTGGGCAACTCATTGGAAGTCCGAGAACTAGGTAATAACTACTTTCAATTTCTTTTCCCTAACAGAATTGAACGAGCTAAGATCTTGGAAGGCCGGAATTGGATTTTTGAAAACCAGCATCTGATATTAAAAGAATGGAAAGAGGGCATTTCTGCAAACCACCCCTGCTTTGATGAATTGACACTCTGGGTCCAAGCTTATGGCATACCTATCAATTGGATCTGCACTGATGTCGGTATAAAGATTGACAGAGTATTCAATGGGATTAAAAATGTGAATATGGCTAAAGCAGGAGGGCAGGGAGGAAGAGTTATGCGAATGCAGGTTGACATTGACATCAAAGAACCTCTGCCCAGATGGACAAAAATCAGATTGGGAAGCAAATTAGCCACCATTCAATTTCTATATGAAAAGCTGGTGAGCCTCTGTTACTATTGTGGTCGAGTAGGCCACTCTGATAAAAACTACTCGCAGAGACAAGAAGATTTTCGCAACAACTCAGTCCACGAGGGACAATATGGAGAATGGATGAAAGCTGTGGATGGAGTAATTGTATCCCAAACACCCTCTCAGAGTAATCACTCTAACCCCACAACTAAAGGCTTCCAAACCCAGAACACATCCCCTGCTAGTGGCAATCACTCCGGAACTTTTAAACAGCCATTCTCTAAATCCATGGACAATCCTTCCTCATCCAAGCAAGCTAGTGGTGTGGGCAAGCATCTACCAGTCATTGAAGAGTCGACTGCTTCTATTCCAATGTCTGAGCCTATTAACCGAGGCAAGGAAATTGTTGCTTTCAGTCACCCACAACTGCCTCCATCAGAGACTGAAGAGGCCACACAACAAGGAATGGAGTTGGTTGCCCAACCTGATCCTGCTCAAACCCCAGAAAGTCAATCTGACAAGCAAACTGGTAAAACTTGGAGAAGAGCCCCCAGCAAAGTGGGCAGACTAGCCAGAAAAAAAAAACCACAGGAACAACATTGGAACAAAGAAGACAGAAGAGAGCCAATTCTGAAATGCAAACCTCAAACACTGAAGAAACCTGCAAAGAGGCCAATACACAGAAGAAGCAGAAAACCAATGACAACAAGGTGGAGGCAGCTAGCCCTAAATGGCTCCCACCCCCTCAATGAGAGCCATGGTGTGGAACTGTAGAGGTCTGGGTGGACCCTCTACAGTATCCCAGATAAGAGAGATCATGTCATCTCACCACCCAAACTTTATTTTCCTGTCTGAAATTAAAAAACAAAAAAAAATGCTTTAGATATTTGTTCTAAGCTGGGTTTTGCCAATAACTATTGCCTTGTGGAACCAAATGGAACCAGAGGAGGATTGCTACTGATGTGGGATTCTCTCCCCAATGTCTCTCAAGTCAACAGCTCTGACTTCTTTATTCAAATCCAGTTCACTCTCCCCCATGAAGACCTTCCTCACTCGCTCACCTTTGTATATATGAGCACTGACAGAGACACTAGAATTCAGCAATGGAACTTTCTGGAACAAAGCAAAGATGGTTGGGGAGATCATTGGGTACTGACTGGAGACTGGAATGACATTTGCAATCAAGAGGAGAAGAGAGGAGGAAGAACAAGACCTACCTCTAGTTTTAATGCTTTCAATGACTTCATCTCAGCTATGGGGATGTTTGAAATTACCTTGGTGGGCTACCAATTTACCTGGGGGAACAACAGAGCTCTTGAAGGTTTTGTTGAAGAAAAGCTAGACAAAGGATTTGGCTCACTAGCCTGGACATTAAGATTTCCACAGGCCAATATCTCAAACATATTCAAAAGTGCCTCAGACCATGGAGTGTTACTCGTAGACACCCAAAACAACCAAGGAAACCACATAAGGAGATTCACCTTTGACAAAAGGTGGATCAACAGAGAGGGCTGCAAAGAAGAAGTTCAGAAAGCTTGGGCCTTACCTCAGCAAGGTACTCCCTTTTTCAAACTCAAAGAACATGTTAAGCAAACCAGAGTGGCCTTGATGAAGTGGAGCAAGCTCTTCAGAGCCGAACATAAAAAGAAGGTGGCCTCCATTTCTCTCAAGCTGGAAGAAATGAGGCAATTAGGTGCTGGCAAAAAATGGGATGAATGGGAGTCTTTAAAGCACGAAATGGAAACAACACAGACCTCAGAGGAAGCTTTCTGGCAGCAAAAATCAAGAGTCCAATGGCTTAAGAAAGGTGATAGGAACACTAATTTCTTCCATGCATTCACCATGCAAAGGAGAAAGAAGAATGCAATATCCAGGTTATTATCAGATGAATTTGGACTCTGTATTACCAAAGAAGAAATTGCTGAGGAAATTGCCAGATACTACAAACAGTTATACACATCTGAAGGCTCTCTTGGTGCTCAAGAAATATCCCAGCTCATCCCCAAAACAATAACTCATGAGATGAACCTGCAACTACAAGCTCCCATCTATGAGGAGGAAATCAAGAGTGCATTATTCCTGATGAACCCTCTCAAGGCTCCTGGAGAAGATGGGATGACACTTCTCTTCTACCAACAATTTTGGCCCATCCTCAAAGATGATATTTGTGCTGCCATTGATACCTTCTTCAACTCTGGTCAACTCCTCAATTACTGGAACTACACCCTAGTTACTCTGATTCCCAAATGCTTGAACCCAACCTCAATCACCAGTTCAGGCCAATAAGTCTCTGCACAGTGGTTTACAAGATTATATCCAAAATTCTTGCATCAAGACTTAAACCTTGTCTACAGTGCTGCATTAGCCAATCACATGGAGCATTCTTGTCAGACAGGAACATCATGGACAACATAATCATTGCTCAAGAAGCCTTTCACTACATGAACAGACACAGAACTGGCCCACACTGTTTTATGGCACTCAAACTGGACATGATGAAAGCATTTGACAAGGTGGAGTGGAGCTGCATAAGGACCATCATGCTGAAAATGGGTTTTGGGGAAATCTTCATCAAATGGATTTTCTCCTGTATAACCACTACATCTTTCTCTTTCATGGTTAATGGTGAAGCTGTAGGTTACATCAAGCCATCCAGAGGACTAAGGCAAGGGGATCCCCTCTCCCCTTACCTTTTCCTCATTGTCTCTGAAGCTCTATCTTCTCTAATCACCAATGCAGTCTCCAATAGAACCTTTAAGGGGCTCAGACTAGCTAGAGAATGTCCTACTCTCTCACACCTTCTCTTTGCAGATGACTCTCTGGTTTTCTGCAAAGCTGATCACAGACAGGCTTCTATCCTCAAGCATCTCCTGAACAAGTACCACCTTTTCTCTGGGCAATAAGTTAACATGGCCAAGTCCACTGTTTTCTTTATCAAGAACACACAACAAGACTCTTAGAACAGAATTTGTCAAATCCTTGAGGGCATCACATCTCATTCATCTATAAGATACCTCAGCCTCCCTCTTGGCATAGGTAAATCGAAGAAAGAAGCCTTTGACTTTGTTATTCAAGCTGCCAGGAAAAGATTGATCAACTGGAAGAACAAATACCTATCTACAGCTGGGAAAGAAGTTCTTGTAAAGGCTGTGATCAACTCTCTACATGTCTATGCTATGTCATGTTTCAAACTTCCTATGGGCACATGCAAAGAACTTGCTAAGATCACAGCCTTCTTCTGGTGGAGCAAGGGCAGAGAACAAGAAAAAGGAATTCATTGGAAAAGATGGGAACTCATGACTCTACCTAAGATTTATGGAGGGCTTGGGTTCCAGGATTTCAAGATCTTTAATGAGGCCCTCATACTCAAAAAACTCTGGAAATAACCACTCAGCCGCAGCTGCTTGTTAGTCAGGTCCTCAAGAGCAGATATTTTCCTAATTCCTCCATTTTTGAAGCCCAAAAGAAAAATTCAGGGTCTTGGCTTTGGAACAATTGGCTGGAAATGTTGCCAGTCTTCAAGCAAGGAATCTGGAAGGAAGTTAGAGATGGAAAAACCACCATGATCAGTGATGCTGGATGGATTCCCAATCTTAGACTTGCAGCCCCTAGAAGGATACTCAATGCTGAAATCCTCTTTGTCAGAGAATTAACTCTGGAAAATGGCAGACAGTGGAATACAAAGTTGATATCCCAAATGTTCTCTGACTGAGAAGCTCATGCCATTATGGAGATCCATTCCTTGAACCCTGACCTTGAAGACAGATGGAGATGGAAATTGGACTGCAAAGGTGCCTTCTCTGTGGCTACTTCCTATGCACACCTTATGAACATGAAACTCAGACACTTGGATATTGCAGAAGGAAGCATGAGCAAATACTCTGACTTGTTAATCAGGAAGAGGAGTTGGAAGCCCAAAGTCAAAGGGAAAATTAAACATTTCATTTGGAAATGCTTTACCAAAACTCTGCCTGCTGGAGCTAATCTAATAAAGAAAGGCATTGATATTGATCCCATCTGCTCTCTATGGGGGTATGATGTAGAAACAGTTGATCACCTGCTACTCAAATGCAAAAGATCCCAGGCTGTGTGGAAGATGTCCCCCTTCTATGGGATGGATTTCCCACTAGACACACAACATTAAAAACTGGTGGTGGGAAGTCTGCTCCATTAGCAAATCAGACATCTCCGAGGCTAGAATCCAGTTGTCCACCTATATCCTATGGTGGCTCTGGAGATCTAGAAATTTATGGTTGTGCAACAAGGAGGAAATTCCAGTACAGATAGTGGTGAAAAAGGCCTTGCAAGAATGGATGGAGTTCAGTTATGTTTCCCGAGTTTGAAGCTTCTATGTTTGGACCTTTCTCTTTCAGTAGGTGTTTTCTTTTGTTTCTTTGGGATTGTGCTTTCTGGTTTTTAGTTTGGTAGTTAGTTTTGTCAGTTTTGGGGCTGCCTGTTTTACCTCGGTTGTGCTAGCTGCTTTTTCTCTTTTTTCCTTTAATGTTACTTTGGTTTGTTGGTGTTGTTATGGGACTGAAGTCTTCTAGCTTTGTGCTAGCTTCATGTTCCATGTTTAGTGTCTTGGTGTGTTTAGCACACTTTTTTAGTGTTGCTCTCAGGCCTTGCGGCCATCTCGGGTATGTGCTCGTTGTAATGTCTTTGTTTTTGTTTTAATGAGATATCTACCGTTTGGAAAAAAAAAATATATATATAATTTGATGGTCGGGTGCAATTCAAATTGTAAATTTCACCTTAGAAGTATCTTATACATTAAAAAAAATCATTTTTTTTTATAAAAAATTCTTATATACTAATTTATAAATGAAAAATAAGTTAATAAAAAGCAATGTACGATAATTTTAAGTATAGCACTTCATAATTATGGAAATACATAATATATCTAAATATTTGATTAGATACTATGTAACTCATTATATAGGTTGAAAAAATGAATTAAATAAATAAATATAAATAAAAAATGAAAACATAAAAATAAAATACCTTAAAAAAATTGTATGTTGCATAAGGATTAAAGTTTCTAAAAATTAAAATTTATTTATCTAAGTTTTTAACATTTAATGCACTGAATAATTATAGCTTGATTGGATTCTCGATATTCTAACCTCTCAAGCAGCCCGAAGGAAAAATCTTGAGGTCGGACTCGAGGACCTAGCGGAACGCATTCGAGATATGGAGAACCGAGTTTACAATTCTTCCCCCGATTTCCCTGTGGAAAATGAACATCGGAAAACCACTTTGACATTTGACAAAAAACTCGATCTCGTTCTTGCTCGTATGTTGGCTCAAACAACTCAATTGGAAGAGATTGAGGTTGTATGCACTCGATTGGTGGGACAGCTTGATGGTATAATGCAACACGTCCAGTCCGTTGAGCCACAATTCGATGAGCCCCTTATCAATGTCTATCAGATTCACGCGGGCGAGACTGAAGAAGAGGAAGATGCGCTTCCAAAGATTGAGGGTGATCTTCTGATGGAGGAAACTTTTGGGTCCGAATTTGAGAGTACCTCACTTGAGCCATCCTTCCACACCGTCGAGAAGGCTCCATTTAGCTCGATATGCTCCACAGACACTCTTGTATTCCGATAGGTTGACTATGGAGCTTTGATGAGAAGAGCTCTGGGCCATTTCGTTACCATCCTTGGTGCTCATGCTCGGTTCCACAAGAACATTGCCACTCTAGCCCACTAGGTCCGCAGACATGCCACGCTTCCCTTATTGCCGCTTTTTGAGAATACAAAGGCGTGGCATGATCGTCACTTCTTTTTGGACGCCGGTTGAGTTCCCCACAGGTTTCGTCAAGCTAATAACGTTAAACAAGCATTTCTTGGGAGACAACCTAAGTGATTTATTGCTTCCTAGATATTTTTCTTTATGATTTTTAGTTTTATCTTTAAATAATTGGAGTTTTAGAGATTTGTGGTCTTCTTGGTAGAATCTAGTTTTCGAGCTCAAGCAGGAGGATTGAGTTGAACAAGGAATATCGATGTTCTGGGATGAGCGGTGGCGAGCGACTTACATGTGAATGCTTATTCTCCTCGATGCATGTTTGGTTTGCACACCTTTTCTCTTTTTGTCATTTTGAGTTGTTTCCACTTCTTCCTTTTCTTTTGAGTTTTGTGGTCTTGTGTTAGCTGCTAGCATTGGTTCATGATATAAAATTGCTCAGTCTTGTTTTTAGACTCCCTGGATACGTGTTAAAGCAATGAGGACATTGGCTCATTTTAAGTGTGGGAGAGTTTATTTGGATTTGCATGCTTATGTAGTGGACCGTCTAGTGTAGGTTTTATGTGTTTTGTGAGTATGGACTTTGGAAATTTCAAGATTAGTTAAGACTTGTTTGATGAATTCAATGAGTTGTGATGTTGGTCATATGCGGCATAGCGTGATGAAATGCTTGGTCGATTGCTTTGATTGGTATTCATATATCTACCTTGTGAGGTTTGAGCTTTTTGTTTTTTGAGATACATTGGTCGTGCTCTTGTTTGATTGAAATTAATCGATTGGAATTGTGAACTGTGTATATGATTAAGGAGTTTATTGTATTCTATCTATTTCTTTCTCTACAAATTATTCCCTAGTCTCCCCTTTTGAGCCTTATTTGATTTTTGTTGATAACCTCGTGATGATGACATTTTTGGAGTTGCGGAGTTAAGAATTGGAGGGGATGATTGTTGGAGTTATGTTTATGTTTTTTATTTAAAAAAAAAATTTAAAAAAAAAGAAACAAAAAAATGTAGCGGGATGGATTATAAAATGTCCAATAAGGTTTACACAAAAAAAGGAAAAAAAAAGAGAGAAAAAGATAAGCAATAAGATGGGTGAAACGTGTGGTTTTAGTGAAGTGTGGGGGAGGATCTGGTATGTTTGCGCAAACCGGCTGCGTGTATGATTCTGGGGTAAGGTGTTTGAGTTATGAATTCGAGCCACTTAGCCTATATTTATCCTACCTGACGAAAGAGCATATGTTACAACCTTGAAAGACCTTTTGATACACTAGTTTCGATTTTGATTGATTTAGAGTAGAAATTAGACAAAAGGCAAGCA